CAAAATACAGTGTTTTAATTAAAACTAGGAACAGTCTTTGTTATTTCAACTAAGCATATGCTCAAAAGAGGTAAAATGAGTAATTTGGAATTACAAGAGTTTTCATCTTTGAATGCCAAGAAAAGGGTAAAACCTAGGGCTTGTCTACAGCCCTTTACCTTGCTCTGTGTGACCGCATAGGAGCTGCCTCTGTCCACCATCCAGTGAACACACATGGCGACTGACAGTTCCAAGTTGAAACTTCAGTCTTTTGTTTGTTTAAAATTTAATTAGGGCTGCTTGAAAATACATTATCAAGAAATTATAGAAACAAGTACACACTCAATTTATCACTTTTGGCATCAAAAAATGACTTTGAGTTGCTAATAACACCTATTAATCATCAACTCAACCAGTGGAGTGTGAGGCTGGGAACAGGAGGTTGGCTGACGTCTGGATTCGGCACCTGCAGCTCTGCACAGCGTTAGCAGGGTCCTGAGGTGGTGTGTGCCCCAGACGTACATGTAGCCGAGGTGACGTCCTGGGGTCTTTACCCAGTGGATCACAGGCTGTACACAGAGGAGCTGGCATAGTACTTCTTTCTTGCAAAAAAAGAAAAGAAATAGTTAATCAAATTTAACTATATTTTCAAAGTTGTTATGAAATGTATTTACTTGAATCATGATAGATAAGATATTTTATAATCTTATAAGTCTATGATATCTAAAGAAGCAATTTAATAGTAGTATTGAAGTGAGGGGCATATTCAAGATTTTTGTAATTGAATATATTTTATAGTCAGCAAAGTTTTGATTTTGGCAGTCTCTAATATATATTTTAAAAGCAAAAGGATTTTAATATCTCTTCCTAGTATGTATCAAAAAGCCAGTATATGAGGATAATTTCCAAAATCAACCAACAAAGATATCCTGGAAGTTATGGAAATATAGATTCTCTTAAGTAAAATACTGAATAATATGCAAGTAATAACTGAAGAACATATTTGATATAATCAAATGTATATTTTTCCAAGTGTAATTTAAAATGAAAATGTAAGGCTTCAGAGATAGAAAACAGAAAAAGAGAAAGTAAATAATTCTTACTTGGGAAATAATATTTTACAAACCATATGCTGAAAAATAGTTTTCCAGCTATATCATCAAATATTTTCAGTGGATTTTTCTTACTCCACATGTAATAGTTTATTATACAGTATGGGTAACTTAATGATGGAACTATGTTCTGAGAAATTTGTCATTGTCTGATTCTGTCATTGGGCAAGCATCATAGAATGCTCTTACACAGAGATGGTTATGATATCACTAGGAGATATAATCTCAGGGGACCAGGGTTGCATAGTACATGGCTGGTCATTGACAGAAGCATTGTTATACAACATGTGAGTGTATAATAAAAGAAGGAAATTAGATGTACTAGCTGAGAGTGTTGTATCATAGCTCTCTTGGTCCTAGTCACACAGAGGTGTTCAATAAATGTGAATTCTATTACAACGTTATTTCTCAATCTCTACACACAGTTCTGCTGGCTTTTGCATGGGCATCTCATGCCCCAAACAAAAGTGTGAAGCCATTCACTATTTTGCGTCCTCTCAGCCTTCACTCGGATTTTCCAAATACAATGAGAAGGACTTCTCTTTCTGATCTCTAACACGTATGGTGTCCTGCAGCACCCCAATCCTGTTTACAGATCAAGAATGGAGCAGATCCTCATTACTTTTTCCTTTAAGAGTAGGACAGGTTTATTGGAGAATAGGAATAACTCTTGAGAGACAGGAGGTGTCCTGAGTGGGTTGCCTTTTAATATTTTAAAGATTATATGGCAATGGCTTAGATGTTTGTGTCCATGCAGAATTTGTATATTGAAACCTAAGCCCTAAATTGATGGTGTTAGAAAGGGAAAACTGTAGAGGTGAATAGGTCATGAGAGGGGAGCCCTTATGAATTGTGTTAGTGGCCTGCAAAGAAGAGACCCAAGCCTACTCCCTACCCCTTCCTTTATGTAAGGACACAGTGAGAAGTCACTCTCAGAAAGTGGACTCTCACCAGACTCCAAATTTGCCAGTGATTTAATCATAGACTGCTCAGCCTCTGGAATGTAAGAAATAAATCTCCATTGTTTATTACCTACCCAGTTTACATTTTGTTGCAGCAGCCCAAATGAACTGAATATGTTAGTGTGCCTGAATTTCAATCAGTCATTTTTAATCACTAATTTTACACAGCACAGCATTCTGTCTTATATTCAATAAAGGTTTTATGAAAAGAATGCCATGGTTCTTTTGCAAAATAATAGTTTTAGATGTCAATAAGTAGCTAGAGAGGCTTTATTTTCAGTATTATGTGAGACCCATGATCCCAGAACTTGAACTCTTTAAGCTAAGCTGCAAGATAAAGTAACATGACAAATTTTCAAGCAATGAGTATGCAATTTGGAGTGAAACAGTCAAAAGGGAGAGTTCCAGTGGGCCTTTCAGGTAGGCTCTGTGATGCCTCAGGGAGCCAGTGAGCTGGGCTGCAGGGGACTGAGAGAACATATGGGAACTCTAAGACCCAACAACCAGTCTGCACAAGGTAGCAAGCGTTCATCAGGCCAAGTCCCAGACCAGTAGGATCAGCCAGTGCCATAGTGAGTTCAAGATGTTTCTAGGCACAATAAAGACTTGACTGGAGGCAGGTGCCTAGGCAGGATCTGGGTAAAACACCAAGATCACCTTCATTTTCTTCCTTGCAGAGATAAGAAAAGATCTTTCTTCACTGCTGGTCAGTTTGTTGCTATGGAAAACCATGGCCATTTAAAGTTGAAGCATGTCCCCAGAAAAGATATGGTAAAGACTTAACTCCCAGAACCTCACAAGGTGGCTTTAGTTTGAAATAGGGCACTTGCATATGTACTTAGTTAAGATGAGGTTGTACTGTAGAGGGCTGGGCCTTTCATCCAGCCTGACTAGTGTCCTGGTAAGAAGAGGAAACAGACACACAGAGAAGCTGCTATGGGATAAGAGAGGAAAAGATTGGGGTGCTGCAGCTGCAAACCAAGGACACCAAAGAGTGATGGCCACCAGCAACTAGGAAGAGGCAGGGAAGGATTCTCATAGGCTTTGGAGGAAGCATGATTTGCCAACACCTTGTTCTCTCTCTCTCTCTCTCTCTCTCTCTCTCTCTCTCTCTCTCTCTCTCTCTCTGCAGTTCTGGAGTTTGAACCCAGGACCTTGTGCATTCTAAGCAAGTGCTCTGCCACTGAATTATATCCCTAGTCCTTTATATATCATAGCTTATGTTTTTCCCAAGAGTTACAGGTTAAGTTCATGGCATAAATAACTCTCCCTCCTTTCTAATATCCTAGCAAGCATCCTTATCCATACAGTATTGTGTATTCCTGGTCATGAAGATTCTCACATGAGCTGTACCACTGGAATATATTATCTTCATTAATATTGAATATCTGAAGACAGAATCACTGAGTTCATTGTGAGCATATGCATATAGGTCTGTTCTCTTGAAAAGAAGGAACTGGCAGCTGAAATATATTTAAATCACCCTACACTGAATAGACTAATGCTTCTCAGAGGTTCTAAATGCATTTAAGGCAGCAATGCTTAAAAGCTTGACAGTGGATTCTGCCACATTTTTATTGAAACAGTTGGTCAGATTCAGCTCTTTGGATGCATTTTTGGTTTTAACAATAGTCTCAATCATTTAGTTAACTGTTCAAGGCTATGTTTTAGTAGGGCTTGACTAATCTTCACCCAAATTAAAAACTACCTAATAGAGAAAGGCCATGAAGAAACCAAATCTAAATTAAATAATAAAGGGGGAAATGAAGAGGTAAAGGCAAGTGTAGGGATGGGGTCCAATAGGTACACTCAAATAGCCCATTACTTTGAATGCTGCGTTGCTTTAGGAAGTGATTGGGTCATGAGGGCTCTAACTTTCTGTGAGGCCCCTTCCTCTCGGGCTCTTTCCTCCTCTCTCAGCTTCCTGGTTTCCATGAGGTGAGCAATTTCTTTCACTTCACCCTTACGCCCTGACATTTCTGCTTTGGTACCAACTGACCATGGCCTAAAACTTGTGAAATCATGAACCAAAATAAATCTTTCTTCCTTTAAATTGTCTTTCTCAGATATTTGGTCACAGTAATGCAAAGCTAACATAAGAAGTGAAATGATGAAAGGGTGAATGTCTTGGTTACTTTTCTCTCATTGCTGGGACAAAATATCTGACACCCAAAATTAAGGAAGGAAATGTTTATTTAGCTTACAGTTTGTGGAGGTTTCAGTCCATACTTGGCTGGCTCCAAGGCCGAGTGACACATGGCAGAGGGCAACAGTTCATGGTGGTGGGAGATAGCAAAAGCAACTACAAAAGGGAGGAGTGGCACCAGGCAGCCTCTTTCTCTCCCTTACATATGCAAACTACCCACCCCAGTGGCAGGTATAGCACTCAGACCTATAATCCCAGCATTGGACGATGGATCAATCAAAAATATAAAAGCCTGCCCCATGACTGCATGAGGATTTGGGGGGGACATGCAGACACAAACCATAACAGTGAAATAATATAAAGTATAAGAAAGCCAGTTTCTTTATGGGCAGAGTTGTAACACTGAACAAAACAGATAGATCCTTCTATTGATCACAAAGTTGTAATAAATGTATTACAAAAGAACAAGAAGTGTGTGGTGTACCTATTTCACCATCCAGATGGGAAGTGTTGGGTGGGAATTTTATACAGATCTGAGTGACTTCAGAAGCTATGCTGTATCTTTAGGTACAGAGCTTTCCCTGCATATACACAAGAAGAATCTTTTGGGTGTCGTGTAGTCTTCTCTTGGAGAATAAAGTAGTACCTGAGGACCTTCATTGTCCCTACCTAACGACTATTTGACTTCCCCAAATCTCAGTTGGGATCTATGGCAGGCCATGAATGTTGTTGCTGGTTGGTGATTGATTGTCATACAGGGCCTAAAGCCAAAGGCTGACTGGGATCTCCTTGAACTCCTAGGAGCCGAAGTGACGTATATGAACATGACTGCCTACAACAAGGGCCGGCTGCAGTCCTCCTTCTGGATTGTGGACAAACAGCACGTTTACATTGGCAGTGCCGGTTTGGACTGGCAGTCCCTGGGACAGGTAATCCTTCCACATTATCTAACCTCAAAGTTCTGTCAGCACCAAAACATCTACCTCCATCAAGCAGTCAACCACCTCTGTCTACAGTGATTGAGGGAACTAAAAATGACAGCATTTTAAGTGTTTTATTTATTTATTTGTAGTACCAATGATTGAACTAAGGGTCTTGTTCATGCAGAGCACATCATCTGCCACTAAGCTACACCCCAGCCCTAGCGTTTGTTCTTTTTAACTGTGTAGTTTGAAGAGGTTCACCATTGTTTAATGTGAAATAATAAACCTTTCCTCATCAAAATCATTTCACCAAAAAGGAACTAACAGAATAATTGCCACTGCTTGATGCTTTTTTTAATTCAAGTGCTACTTGCATATTCTTTGTAGTTGGTATATAATTTGCGTTACCCAAACCAAAGTCTATGGGTTATATCACACAATCCATGAGAAAGAGAAAAACATACCAATCCAGCATAAGATAGTATGTCATTTGAGTTATGATTTTAATAAATCTTTTTCAATTTTAATAAATCCTTTTTAATTTTAATAAATCTTAAGATGCAGATGTTATCTTACTCTTTGCAAATGATTAACCTCGAATATATTGAATATACACCTACACTGACAATCATGTGATTTTTCATACATTTATTCTTGCCAAAGACAACCCGTAAAAGACTGCAAAATCTCCATCTTTCCTTTTATCAACCCATGGTGAAGCCTGGCCAATCAGCCTTCTGTCCTAAAGAGTCTACACACCTCATTTTAACTCAGTTCTTCTGATGTGAAGATCATTAATTTCACTAAGGAAGTTACACTGTACTTCAGTTTATCTCTTATGGGAAAGAAAGCATTGAGGTGCATGGGGATCTCTGACTGTGACCCTGTAGAGAAAGACAGTATCACCCTGGATAAGTGTGAGAAGGGTAACGTCACCATCTGTTCTGTTGGTTTTACACACTTGCCCTTTTGCCTCCCAATCTCCACTGTTCTTTTCTCCTTCTTAAACTGCTGCCTTCCACACTTACTCACTCCATCGATTTTTCCTTTTTTATGGTGAGACAGGTAAATGTGCTCAGGGGTAAAAGAAGTAAACCACGGGCCAAATAAATGTCAACAATTCAATTGTTTCCCCCTCCACTGAATGGATTGTATACAGCAAAGGGAAAACTTACCCAACAGATTTTTTCTTGTTTTGAATTTAAAGGATAGTCAAAAGAATCCAGGCTCTAGGATTGTTATTTCTGGTGAGATAGTTCCCCACCCAGGCAAAGAGGGGAGAACCAATGAAAGAAAATTTCATGAGTATTTTAATATGAAGACACCATCAAAAATAGAGAAAATGTCAAATATATTATACTTAAGAAATTAGAAGGTGCTGTCTACAGATTAAAAAATGACTCAACACAATAATAACAATAATAATACATTGTGGTATATTTACATGCCACGTGGTATTCAGAGTCACTTAAATAAATATTTACTTTCACCATTACACTATTCTTATAAGATGAATACTATTATTGTGTCCATTTTATTGCTTTAAATTGAGGTTCAATATTGAACCTTAAACTTGCTCTTACAATAGTAATTTTGAGATGCAAAGTATAAGTCTTGATTCTATAAGCTTCATGTCTGAAGGCCTTTCCAACACACATATAAAAATACTGGTTGTAAGAATATCGACTTACTTCAGAAACGAGAAATAAGGCAATAGTCGCATAAATTTAGAGTATTTAGTAAGAGCTGGAACAATTTATGGAAAGATCTCAGTTTAACTTTTGCTTTCTTTGTATTTACAAAATACTAATCAATAGACGTCTGCCCAGTCTCCATAAACTTGTTCGATAACAATATTGATTATGTGTAAATTCTGCTACTAAGTGCTTTTTAACCTGAGTATACTTTGCTTACTTATCTTTCCCCACCACCAAAGTTTATTTCTTCTGTTTCTAACTGTTATTAATGATAAGGTGTAGTTTTGTGGGTTTTGTTTGAATGATTTTGAATGACTGAGGTTTAGGTGTCTCTATTCCCACTACACTACTTCCTGAAACAGACAGACATTATTCAAGAATGATTTCTCTGCTTGAAAACTACTACTTTGTCTTGCTTTACTTATTGTTGTTTGCATCACAGAAAAATAAGTTGATTTTAAAACTTTCATTCTTTAGCTATATAGTTATTTGGATGTTGTTTCCTTTTGAAATGGATCATCACCATGAAATGTGAAAATTTCCCCCACTTCAACCATAGTCAATTCAGAATAAGGATAAGTTGCATGTGATTTCTTGTTATTCAAATGAATCAAAGCCATTTACAAACTTTCCTGGCTTACATGTTGCCAGGTAGTACTTAGTTTCCCTCCGTATTATAGAGAAGAGTGGAGTGGTCCAGGAGTAGCCAGCAAAAGCCAAAAAGCATCATAACTTCTGTCACTGCTCACAACCACTTGAGCTCCTTTCCTGGGGACCTATCAACTCTTTGATTTATTCAATGTCATTCTCAGTAAGAATTGGAGAATTGCAACCTCTCTCTTGTGCTGTTGTATGGAGCTAGCGCCTATAGCTCTGTCTAGAGGAAGTGTCACTCTGACCGGGTCATGTGGTCTATTCATTCTTAGCTTCTAAGTTATGCAATGAAAACAGTGGATTTTTTAGGTTTTTCTCCCTCAGCTTGAATAGAGCAATAAAATCATTCTTCTATAACATGATATTTCTTAAGTATGGAGTAATAGAATACAGGGGATAAAGATGAACTTATTCTGTGACCCAGCAGAAGTTCACAGGTGGGAAAGCCATGGGAAAGTGCTGAGCACTTCCATCATCCTGTTAAAGAGGAGCAGAGGAGTCCTCGCCAGCTCAGCCTGGGGGAGAGCAGCCTTGGGCTGGCTGGAGAAAGGCAGCAGATGTGCAGAGAAGATATATCCTGGTGGGAAGTGTTTAAGCCACAGTGGTTTCAAGCCATATGGGACTTTGCAGATGGACTTCATTTGTGGAAATCTGTGTTCTTCTTTTGGCTGTAAATTTGATAGCAGGTTAGTCTCCTTGGAGGTCAGGGAACTAGAACAAGGTAAGTAAAGAAACCTTTTCCAGAAGTTACTATGTATGTGCCAGCCACTGTGTGTGTGTGTGTGTGTGTGTGTGTGTGTGTGTGTGAATCAGTTTCTTTCTTGATCATACAATGAAGAAATCCTTTGCTCATTCACCTCTCTCCCACTGCAAACCCTTGATGATGGTGGCCACAGGATGACAACTACTCTTGCTCAGTACTTGAGCTTTGCAAACTCACTCAATCTCTGACTTGAATTTCAAAGAGAAAGGTCCAGCGTGTTTGCTTCTGTGCTCCTCACCTCCTATGGATCCATCAGAGGCTCCCTTAGAAGTCTCAGCTGCAGGGAGCCCTGTGGGAAGAAAGAGAAAGCCTCCTAAGGCTTCTCACCCAGGGATCTGCAGTTCTGCATCTCGGGAAAGTCTGAGAACACCGTGGAGGAAAGAAAAAGCACAAAGCAAACAAAAGACTAACCAGGGTGTAAAGCCGAAAGGAAAGTGCACACATTCTTCAAATCACAGGGCTCTGGGGGTGGGATGCTAATTAGAAGAAGCTGCGAAGGAAAAAGTAGAATCATGCTTTTAGAAAAAGTTAAACTTACAATATTTTGAACAAATCCTCTTAGGTGAAGGATTAAACTGGAGATGAAGGTGGGATGTAATAGGTTTCTTGATCAGGAGAACCCAGCAACTGTGTAGAAGGGAGAGCTTTGCACAGTGCGCATGAGAATATATAATTAGAACAAACAAGAATGGGCCTATTTAAACTCTGTGAATGTGCACATATATTAACCTTAGCCCACCTGTATTGTGAAAAGAATTAGAAGGCAGATGTGAAGACGGATGAGCATGTGGGAGCATTAAGGTACCATGACTACGTCACGTGGCAGTGTGGTGTGGGTGTCCACAGGCTCAGCATCCTGCACAGATCTGCTCCTGTAAGCGGACTGAGGAACAAACTGAGTAGTCCAGGGTCTGCTTGGTGTCTGAATCACTAAAGCATTGAACTCCAGCACTGGAAATTACATCAGAGAATAAAACCAGTGTGGTGCCTTCTGTGCTGTGCTTTATGAAATGCTGTTCCAGTGAGATAGTCGTGATTACTACCAGAGAAAAAGACTCTATCCCACCTAAGATTGAGAAACTGTGGTTTCATTTAAGTGGGCTTCTTCATTCTGAGACTCCTAAGTGTTTACTATGCCACAGGGCTGTGTGAATCTCTACAACGTGGGAGAGTAAGCAGTAACCTGCTTGACCATGAAAAACTTTCCACAGTTCATTTTATGAATCAAGTGTTCCCAGAGTCTACTGATTAACACAAATGCTGCTCTAGACAATCTCTCACCATCCAGATGGGATCACTGAGGCAGGGGGCAGGGGCCAGGGCACTGCTAGGTCCCTTACCCTATGTGCAGCCTGCCTTTGCTACCCTGGGGCTTTCACATCCATGGGTTCCAGCAACCTCAGATCCAAAATACTCATTTAAAAATACCTCATCTATATTGGTCATGTACAGGTTTTCTTCTCGTCATTGTTCCCTAAACAATACAATATAACACTTATGCACATAACATTCATTAGGTATTCTAAATAAACTAGAGATAATTTAAATCACACGGGAGAATGTACATAGGTGATATGCAAACACCAGGGCATTGCATGTGAGGGATTTGAGCATTTGCAGGTTTGGGTCACTATGAACTTTCTTAGAATCAATCCCCAGAGCATACTGAGAGATAATCTACGTCTCATTGGTTCCATTTTTCTGGAGAGCCCTGACTAAAATTGTGAGTCTGAGAAGTGGAAAGAGGGTGTGACGGGAGAGGGCTGGCAGAGCTGTCACGGTGACTGTTGGGTTGTGAGGAGCCAGAGCGAGCTGGTGACATTGCTTCCAGCACCTGGGGCTGGACCATCTGGGAGAAGCACCACATTGTCTGTAGACACAGAATTTCTCGA